ACTCTAAGTAAGCAAGCCTGTGCTACCAGGGACCAGGTTCCATCCTTTGCAGTAGGAACAATGAAGCCTAATTCATAGACTATAAGTACAGGAAAGGCCCAGCTTTGGGCAAGTTCCCACAAAAGCTCCTAAGGGCCACCTCTATTATACAATTTCCATCATATGATCTTATGAACCAATAACTTTCCCCCTACAGGCTACTTCTGGGATTTGAACTCTCAAAAGTCTTACTAATAACAGGAAAACTGAATAGATGGAAACTAGATGTCAAAGAATATTTTTTACTCAAGCTCCAAACTCATTAGATATAATGTCTCATTTCTTTCTCTATAAGTCCTCAAATTACTATTTAATTCCTTTTGTTGTTGTTGTTGTTGTTTTGATCTTTTTGAGACAAGGTCTCCCTGTAGCCCCAGCTGGCCTGGATTCACCTATGGAGACCAGACTGGCCTTGAACTCCCAGAGATCCGCCTGCCTCTGCCTCCTGAGTTCTGGGATTAAAGGCATGCACCACCATGCCCAGCTTTAAATTTTTAAGATGTTTAAGCTGGGCGTGGTGGTACATGCCTTTAACCCCAGCACTCGGGAGGCAGAGGCAGGGGCCTCTGGCAGAGGCCAGCCTGGTCTACATAGTGAGTTCCAGGCCACCTGGGGCTACAGGGAGACGCTGTCTCAAAAAGACAAAAAAATTAAAAATTAAAATTTTTAAAAGATGTCTCATGCAAATCAGATCATATTTTTAAGAGACTTGATTTAGTCAGGTGTAGGGGTGCATGTCTTTAATCCCAGCACTCAGAAGGCAGGGGCAGGGGAAATCTAGGCCAGCCTGGTCCACACAGTGAATTCCAGGCCATCTAGGGCTACAGGGAGACCCTCTCTAAAAAAAAAAGAAAAAGAAAAAAGAAGAAAAGACTCAATTTGCATCTTTCCTTTATTATACCTTAAACCAATACACAGTGAAATGACAAATAAGCAATTACAATGTCTTTAAGAGAACACAGAGTCCTAAGAAAACATGAGGCTTATGAAACCCAGACTTGCATCAAAGGGATCTTTATTAATAGAGTACCCACACTGAGACCTGAAAGACAAGTATGAGTTGACAAACAGAAGTAGAGGGAACCAGGAAAGTAAAGATGTATTCAAGACAGACAAAGGCTGAGATTTAAAGAACCTGGCATCTTAAGGGAAAAACGCAAGCAACAGAATAAGACTAGCTCACTGAAAGTCAAGGGACAAAGGAAAAGAGAGATGAAGTTAAGTAAAAGTGAAAATTTAAGGATCCTGACAGCGTAGTTCAGACTTATCAGAAAGGTAATGAAAAGCCAAAAACAAAAATCAAAAAAACCAAAAACCCCTGCAGATAAGTTACTTGCTCAAACATTTTAGATTACTCTTGACTACAGTGGGGAAAAATGGAAGCAGGATGGTTAACCATCTTGCTTCCAGGATAACCAGCTAGGAAGCTATTCTAGCAACCACGGGAGAGGATGCTGACTATGGAATACAATGGTGGCCCTGAGGAGAAAGAAATATCCAAGAGATTATTTGAGAAGGGCTTCAAGGAAGCTCAGTGAACCATCACAATGTAAAAAGAAAGAAAATATATGAAATGGCCCATGTTTCTGCCAAGCAGTGTATACTATTTGCTGAATTCTTACCACGCATGCACCATCTTGTTTCATCTTCCCAGAGAAGAGAAAGAAAAGAGGCCGTTTGATTTACTTTTTTGATCAGAGGATTGGGAAAGTTATGATGACTACAGCTTTGGAATATGTGTTTGAAGTACTGAAAGAACATCCAAATGGACATGTCATGAAGCTATAAGTCCAGCTACCAAAAAAGAGCTTTCAAAATTACAGAATTATCAGCAAATACATTGGAAATGGCAGGAAATGATTTTGGAAATAAAGTATCTGTCATTCATGCTGAAAGCTATTTCATACCTACGTTCCTATAGAGTGCTGAGAATGGTTCTAAGCCAAAAAAAGCAAGATTCAATCCCAGCCTTCAAGAAGCTCCCAGTTGATGGAGAAGGTTGAGTGATACAGAGCTAAGCACATAGGAAGACTTCAAGGCAAACACCACCTCCACCTCAAAGCTGTGTTAACAGAAAGCTTAGAGGTAAGAGGACAGGAAGAGAAGGTTCTCCAGATACAAGACCTAAATTCAAAGACAGAAGGGACTTAGGGGGCTGTTGCTATTGTTTGGTTTGGGGTTTTTGGGGGATTGGGGTTTTTTGAAATGCGTTCTCAATATACGCCCTGACTGGCATGGAACTCAGAGATTTGCCTGCCTCTGCCTCCCAAGGCCTGGGATTAAAAGGAGGTGCTACCATATGCAGCATCTAGAAAGGAATCCTCTAAATGCCTTGCTTTACAACAGAAAAATTAAATACTATTCGCTCAATCTCCCAAACAAATTCTTAAATTTAACAAACAAAGCATTTATTAAATGTGCTATAAGAAAGATGGGGGAATTCCTCACACTAAATATTAAAGCATACTTGAAAGTAACATAATAAAATTAAATGATATACCTACAAAGAACTATAATGAAAAGCCTAAAGTCCAGAAATTATCCTAACATATACTTACTATAACTTAAATGTAACTGAAATATTTCTAAAATAAGATAAGAATGGTGGTTCATGCCTATAATCTCAGGATTTGGGAAGTGAGGAAGACTGCCACAAATACTAAGTTCAGGGCCAGCCTAGGCTACCCAATGAGTTCCAGGGCAGCCTGAGCCAGAAAACCTATTTCAAAAAGCCAAAAAAAGGGAGGGAGGGAAATAAACTATTAATTCTTATCAAGAGCAAGGCTCTGGATCATCCTCACCTACATAGTGAGTTCAAGGTCAACAGGGGCTACCAGATACCTTGTATCAAAAAGAAAAAGCCAGGTGTAGTGGCACATGCCTTTAATCCCAGCACTCAGGAGGCAGAGGCAAGTCTCTGAGATAAAGGCCAGCCTGGTCTACATATCAAGTATGATTGACAGCTGGGGAGACCAGATCTCAAAAGACCAATAAAAAAAGATAGGACTAAATGATCCACATTTAGAACAATGATGTGCCCACCATCATTCTAGGGAGGTTTACTGAACCTGGCACACAGGAACCAGCTTCAGTAAGCACAACAATGTGGATTCTTTGATCCAGTAATTCTACAGACTAGTAATCATAAAACCGGAGCTGACAAACTGGGCTTGATGGCACACGCCTTTAATCCCAGCACTCAGGAGGCAGAGGCAGGCAGATCTCTGTGAGCTCTCGGGAGGCCAGACTGGTTTACATAGTGAGTTCCAGGCCAGCTGGGGCTACAGGGAAACCCTGTCTCAAAAAGGCCAAAAAAAAAAAAAAATCTTAAAAAATTAAAATAAAATACACCTACACTGATATTAGCCTTCACTGTATAGAAGACACATGTCATAGCCATAACTTAAGGCCATGTTTCTATGAAGTTCAGTACTATCACTTTCTCCCTTCAGAGGACTAAAGTCAACAGGTGCACAAACTGCTATCACTAAGTACTGCGTGCTGATTTGTGGAGAGAGGTGTGTTACTGTTTTATAGGCTGGTCTTTTCTCATAAACTAAATCGTGGCCTCCAAGCAAAGGAGCAGCAGCCATTTCTTTCCACCATCTCCACCACTGGAGCCCCCCTAATCCTCGCAGAACATTTAAAGAATAAATACGTTGGCATGATAACCGAAATCTAACTTAATTTCTGACCTTTAATAAAGCAGAACGACAAAAAGAAAATTAAACCACACTTATCAAAGCACAGAAACACATGTTTACGTTTCTTAAAGCATGTGATAATTCATTCTTTCAGGGAAAACTGAAAGATGGTTAAAACGAGTAACCGAGAGCAAATTTGAAAGAAAACAGTGGAAGTCCTTTTTTAAAGGAATAAAGGACAACGTATTAAAAATAAATAAGTGGCTGCAGAGAGGCAGCCACAAATCATTGTTTTCTAAGAGGCCAGGTTCATCTCCGGGATTTTCTTCTCGGAGCCCAACCAATCCCCACCGTTTCTGAGTTAACCAGTCTCCAGGCAAGCCGCGCATCCTGATTGGCTGGAAGATGTCGAGTAGCAAAAGCAGCCAATCCTTCTCTAAGTCAGAACTGTGCTATGGAGACATTACAACCACCGCACGGCAAGAATGTGTACAAACCTGTCAGCGTCGCAAATATCGGCTCCGACTCCTAAAGACAGATGCTGGAAAGACTCTGTAAACCCAGCTGGTCCTCACTCTGATCTGGAATCTACTTTTTTTTTTTTTTAATTCCTCTGGCCCTCTTATGAGGGGGAATCAAAGTGTAGTAACCAAAAGCGCAGGAGGGGTAAACTCTGCCCTGGGATGACTCCCTCTCCAAGCAAGATTCGCAGAGCTGGAACTGCGTCTCCAAGAGAGAAAGGGCTGGAGGAGGGTCCCAAGGAGGGGGAAAAGTTGCGAGGGGGCTGGGGAAAAGGCGGGTCGCGGGCGCACAGGTCCCGAGGGAGGCAAACGTCCCTACACAGTGGCTGAGCGGGGACAGCGTGTGTGCGGATGGGAGGAGGTGCGTAAATAAACAGCTCTCGGAGCACCGAGGGCTCGGGCAGGCGGCCTCGAGTTCCCAGAAGGCTCGGCCTAGGAAGCGGCGGAGTGCTCGCCGGGGCGCGAGGTCGGCTCCCCGCAGGAAGACACCGGGGTGCCGGAGGGGTGTGTCCGCGGCCTGGAGGCTCGCCAGGCGCTGAAGGCCGGGGAAGCGGCCGCGGCGCCCGCCTTCACCCGGCCTCGGGCCGTGCGCCAGGGCCCGCCTCCCGCGACGCCTCATTTCCCTTCCGTCCGGCTCCCCGTCCGGCTCCCGGCCCGGCTCGCTCAGCCGCTCGCCGCCGCCGCTGGCCCTCCGCACTGGCTCTGCGCCCCGGGACCTCCCCTCGCGCCCCCTCGGGGCCCTCTCCCCCTCCCCATCCCGGTTCCCGTCTCTTGCCTCCCTCCCTACAGCCTTTACCTGCTTCTGAAGCTGGAGCCGGGCGTCGAGGCCCAGGCCGCGTCGTCGAGTGAGCGCCGCGGGTCCGCAACCCTTTCCCGCCGCCGCCACTGCGCTCTCCGGCGCGACGTGGGGTGCAGAGCAGCTGCGGCCGCGGGAGGGGGAGACGCGGCGAGGGCGCCCAGCGGGGATACACTGCCGCTCTCAGTCCGGCCAGGGAAGAGCAGCCTAGCCGGAGCCCGCCGCGCGCAGGAGCCCGCCGCGAGAGGGCGGGTGGGCGGCCGCGTGGGGAGGGGTCTCGCGGCGACCACAATGGCTGCCACGTCGCCAGGTGGATCGCAGCCCTCCGCCCCCGCCCTGCTCGCGGCCACTACCTCTGCCGCTCGGTTCCCGGAGTCCCCCCTGGGCGCGTCTGCCCGCACCGCGTGGCCCGCCTCGGCCTCCCGAGCCCGCGGGTGCTTAGCTCGCCCGCTCCAGGAGGAGACGCGGGGCCGCGGCCTGGAGGGCGGCGTAGCCTGGACCCGAGGGCTGTTCCGGAAGCCCGCGGTGCTTCCCTCACCCCGCTCCAGTCGGGCTCCGGGAAAGGCGGGCGCGGGTCCCCACGCGGCCGCACGGGGCCCGGAACTGTGCCAAAACGAGCGCTCGGGTGCGCTGCGGCCGGGTCGAGCCCTCAACGGCGCTCTCTCCAGGCCGAAAAGCAAAACAAACACAAGGTCGACCTGGCCAGGGCGGGCGAGGGAGGAACTGGGAGCTGGGCCGGGCTGCAGCTACGAGGTCGGCGGGGCGAGGCGACGGCCCCCGCGCTGCCCCACCGGGGCCGCTCGCTCCTGGCCGACCCCGCGGGAGACAAAGGGCTAGCGGCCGCCGAGACCGGACGGAGGCTGCCGGCTCCCAGCCCACGCCCGCAACGTGCGGTCGGAGCAAGCTGGCCCGAGCCCAAAAGCGCGAGCTGCGGCGGCCTTTGCCCCTGTGGAACTGGAGTTTTCAGGTGCCAAGAAAAAGCAACATGTTCTTTCCCCTCCTCCGATCCTGGATTATTAGCCCGTCCCCTAAGCCTGCTCCATGTTTTTCCACCCCCTAAACTCTGACTTCCCTGTTTTATTTGTTCTGTGTTCTGACATGAAGCGTTCGGTACTTTCGGAGTATGAAATTATTTCACCCTGGCTTATGATTGATGATGGTACTACCATGTCCCCCCACAGCTCCCCCCACATCCAGCGTTTCCTTTCTCTTTGAAATTACTTTTGTGTTCCTCTTTCACTCTTTTTCACCAAAAAGAAAATAACCTGGTGATAAAGTATTCTACATCAAAGAGACAAATTATTTGTAAGTATTGTGGCAGTTGCTTAAACCTGAATGTAAATTTGAAGAAAGTACAAATGAATTTTTTTTATTTTGTTGTTTTTGTTCAAAAATCCAGTTAATATTCAAGCAGAGACTTCAGGATGAGCACATTTTCTGATTAGGTCACGCAGAAAAAAAAATTCAAAGGGAATTTTTTCTCTTTTGTCTTTTTCAGAAATCTCTTTGATACAAGCACTTTTTTAAAGGCTTTTATTAAATGTCAAAAACAAAAAGTTGTGATAATCCAGTATCCCAAGCATAAATATCTATTACTGAGAACCTAACATTAACCCTGCTCCTAAGCAGCTATTAAGAAACCAATAATTGTAATATCTGCCGCTTTTGAAACGAAAGAGCCCTAGTAATTAAAAACTTCAAACTAATCTAGCAAATTTATATTAATTTTATTCATCTGAAGTATGTTCACCATGATAATAAAAACTTGCATTTAAATTCTAGGTTTTCCTTTGATCATCTGTTAAGGATTTAGCACATCTTAAATCTGAACAATAAAACAGAATTTGTAACATTGAAGAATATATTTCAAGACACAACCCAGGCTGAATTGTTTTTGCTTACTACGTCAAAAGAAAATTTTCACTATAAAATTCTGTAAGAACAAAGCAATCTTCACCAGCGTTCACAATGCCAACCTTCTTTTATGAATAGTTACAAGAGCTCCTCCTTCCTTATTGGTTCAAATTCTAAGCCAATAGGAAAAGTACAACACATCTTTCAAAGGGCGAGACAGCATTAGGTTAATTTATGGAGTAAACGATTGTTTAGCATGCTCATTCTTTCAAGCTCACAGGTCTTGTAATTTCAAAGATGAAATTTCAGAATCTTTGAAATACTGAGTAAGTGAAGATTGGTGCTGCTCCTCAAATTCTCTTCTCTGTAATCTTCCTCTTGACTATATTACAATTCGTTATAATTGATTATGTGACAATATTATTTTTCTAAAATACCAGGTGACTATGAGGAATGGCAAAATGCCTCCTAGCTAACACTTTTATTAATAAGATGAGTAAGTACTGGCATTTTGGTTGAGAGACCAGCCTTTAAGGAAGTAATGAAATTTGTCTTTTGAAAAATGTCATTGATTTTTGTAAATAAAATTGCCACAGCTTCATAAATTAATATATTCCATTTGTCTACAGCCCCTTTGGGCATATTTAGTGACTAGATTCTAAGCATGCTTTTTTTATATTTGCATTTAGAAGCTAAGTAGGATTTCCTTCAAACAAAAAGTAATCTGTGTCGCCTTTTTGTCCTATGACTTTGATTTACAGCATTCTGCTTAATTATAGTTACTCATATTTATAATCTCCCTCACTGGATTATCAACTCCTGGAAAATAGGTTGTTTCCCACTCAAACTTGTATTCCTACTACCAAACCCAGAACCTTTTACAGATTAAGCATACTATGGATATGTGCCTAGTGAAAGAAGGTTGAGCATTACTCCATAATAGCATATGGCAAATCAAAGGAAAATATGTCTCGGGAGCTCTTCTTTAAATAATAGCTGATAAATTGTTTTCCTTCCCAGTTACACTTAGAATTGTTGTTGGAACATTACTAAAAAGAAAACCAACATATTCTGAGCTCCTGTGTTTTCTCATTACTCATAAGGGTTGGAGTTGTAGCTCCGTGATACAGTACTGCACTTACCTAGTATGTGTGAAGCCTCAGCAATACAAACTAAATAAATCTAATGGGAACTGGATAGTAGAAAATATTGCTGTTATCTAAATAAGTTTCAGTGGATTTGGTAAGACTTCTTTACCACACTCAGATACCACAAGTTCTTTGGCCTTGGGAAAATGGCTTCAGCCCTCCAACTTGGTTTCTTCATCTTTCAGGTGGCATTCGTACTATCTACTCTCTGATTAAAATAATGAGTATGTGTTAAAGTAGAGCCCTAATAAATTATAGTTATGGATGAGTGGGCTCAGTCATGAGAGAGAAGCAATTTTCTACAATTACTTATAAAAAGCAGGTATAAAAGCTCCTTTTAAAAAATTGGGGCTGGGGAAATGGCTCAGTGGGTAAAGCATTTGCCACACAAGTATAAGGGCTGGAGTTCAGATCCCTAGCTCACATGTAAATGCCAGGCATGCCAGCCTGCCTATAATCCCAGCAGTTGGAAGGTATAGAAGGGGGAAGATGGCTAGCCACTCTAGCCAAAACAGCAAGCTCTAGGTTCAAGTGAGAGAGATCCTTAATATGTAAGGTGAAGAGGATGGAGGAAATAACCTGATGTCAACTTCTGGCCTGCATACATACATGCAACCACACAAATGCAAATATACATTTATACACATACACCAAAAAAAAATCAGAAAAGATCATGATGAAGCACCAGGCATGGTGGTACGAGCCTTTAATCCCAGCACTCAGGAGGCAGAGACAGGCAGATCCCTGTGAGATTGAAGCCAGCCTGATCTACATTGAGGATAAATGGGCCCCAAGCCCGGTTAAGCAAATCTTGCCTCAGATCTAGCTAAATTGAGAAATCCCCAGCTCAGAAACTGAGTGAAACTCCAACCCCCAACCCAAAGACTGTTATCTGGGAAAACATTTACCAGACCTTATTGTTCTAAACCTCTAAACCAAACATCAGCACTCCATTGTTTCAAGCCCTCAAATCACTGAAAAACAAACCAACAAAAATAATCCCCTCGGCAGCTGGACACATGACTCAGTGGTTAAGAGTACTGACTGCTCTTGCTCTGTTGAGGTTGGTTTCATCTTTTACCTCACCCTGGTCAATCCCAATTTAACATTTTCTGAAATACATAGTGAATTCCAGGCCAGCTGAGGCTACAGGGAGTCTCAAAACAAAAATCAGTAAATAAGGGGTGGGGACTGGGAGATGACTCAGTGGTTAGGTGGATGTACTGCTCTTGCAGAGGATCCAAGTTCGGCTCCCACCACCCAGCTCAGGCAGTTCACAACTGCCTGTTACTCTCTGGGGAATCTGACTCCTCTGCAGACGGTTGTTAGCTGCCATGTGGGTGCTGGTATTCGAACCTGGGTCTTCTGCACAAGCAGCCAGTGCTCTTAACTATTGAGCCAGCCCCTCCAGTCCCCATTTTTTAAAAAAATAAGAATTGAATATCAATAAATGGAAGCTGGGGAGATGGCTGAGTGTTGCCGTGTAAGCATGAGGAATGGAGTTCAGATTGCCAGAACCTACATACAAGCTGGGCAGATAAAGCACCTGTAATTCCAGAACTCAGCAGGCAGAGATAGGGAACCTGGAACACCTGGCTAGTCAGACACATGTGAAAATGTATACACACATGCATACCACACACCCATACACCTGAAAGAAAAATAAGTATGAAAACAAATTTCCTAGAAGAGGGACTAGGACATTAAGCACACCTACCAGAGGTGTGCATTTTGGGTTATTTTGTTGCAATTTATTTTTATGTGTGTATATGTGTCTCTGTGTGTATATGCCACATGAGTGCAGATTCCCCAGAGGCTAGAAGTAGGCATCAGATGGATCCCAGGAGCTGGAGTTACGAGCAGCTGTGAGCCACCTGGGAACTGAATTTGAGTCCTCTAGAGAGCAGTATGCTCTCTTTAACCCTTAAGCCATCTCTGCAGATCCCTGCTTGTTTCCATTTTGAGACAGGATCTCAGAATGTAAATCCCAAGCATACCTGTAAATCATGCTCCTTTTGTATCTGCCTCCTGAGTGCTGGGATCACAGGCATGTACTACCATGCCCAGCCAGAGGAGATCACTTTTATGAACAAGAACTGTGGCATTC